TATTTCCTATATCGATTTCTATATAAAACGTGCAACACATTTAAAAAAAATAAAGGAGTCGCCAAATGGCGAAGCTCGTATATTCTTGGTGGTTTCTCAGCTTCCTTCTGATTCTCGTATCTCGTATTGAAGCTCATTCGGTCACTTATGATCCCTCATTTACGCATGAGGCAAGTCCACGAAAAAAAAAATCAAATTTTAATGCTAAATTTCCTTCTTATGTAGCTTAATAATCTTATTTATTTAAAAAAAATATTGATTTTCTTTCTTTTTTTTTAAATCAGTGTTTGTCAACGCCTCTGAAGCCTCAATATAACGGAGGAATAATCATAAATCCCGAATTGAACGAGAAATTGAATGGTTGGATAGTTTCCGGAGATGCTAGTGCGGCGCTCGGAGAATCTTGCGATGGAAACAATTACATTATTACTTCTAAGAGAAAGCAATCCATTTTCTCACAAAAGTTGTTCTTGGAGGAGAACAAACTATATACTTTTTCGGGTACTTTAATTTATTTTTATTTAAGTTGCTGTTTTATTTTTTATTATTTCTGATTATGCAATAATTAAGTGTTTTTTTTTTTGAATGATTTATTATAATTTATAGCATGGGTGCAAGTAAGCAATGGGAATGATGCTGACGTGGCAGCAATTATAAAGACAAGCACATATAGTCAAAGCCCTGGCGCTGTGATTGGTCGAGAGGGTTGTTGGTCAATGCTCAAGGGTGGTTTTGTGGTCAACGTTACTGGCCCAGCTGATCTCTACTTTGAGGTTTGTTTTTTCATTTATTTATTTATTTTTATTATAGCTATAATTATTTTGAACTAGAAAATTTCCGATTTTCGAAAATTGTAATGAAAAAACTTATCTCAAAATTGCAAAATTTCGAACCAAAGTCGACAATTTTTTTTCTTCAATTTTATGATTTTATCCATGTAGTAAGAATACATAACATATTAATATAATAAGTGTAATTTTTGGGAAAAAAATAGCATTTTAAAAGTTAAAATGAAATAAAAAACCAGGATTCAAATATATTCCAGTTCCGATTAAAAAAAAAATCATTAATTATAATCTTCAAAATTCGAAATGAATTCATTGTTCCCAAAAAAAAAAAGGAATAAAAAAAAGTACAGTTTAATATAAATATAAGGGTAAATTCCACTTTACCCCCTTGTACTCTGCCCAAGAACCACTTTACCCCCTCGTACTCTTAATTTCGTCGATTTACCCCCTTGTACTTGTACAATTTCCCAATACAACCCTCTTCGTCAACTTTTTTCGATTTTGACTCTGACGCCATTTGGTCAAGAGTCAAAATATTGACGTAAATATTGAATTTTTTCGATTTTGACTCTCGAGATTAGAAAAGAGAAAGTTTCACACATTCATATATTTTTTTCTTTGCACTGAGTGGAATCGATCAATTTTTGGGTCTTGATTTTTACTAAGTTAGGTGTTCAATTTGGGGATATCTTGGAAGGGGAAGTGGTGTTAGTAGAAGAAATGACCATATTGACGGAGGAGAAACGACGCGTTATAGGCACGTGGCAATTTTGTAATTTACAGAGTTGACCAAACGGCGTCAGAGTCAAAATTGACAAAAGTTGAAGGAAAGGGCTGTATTGGGAAATTGTACA